CTTGCATCAGCATCTCCCTGGGACCTCACTAGTGCGCAAGTGTGAGCTCTTCAACATTCTAACAGGCACCATGATAGCGCAAAATCGCGAATCTTCAATGCATATGTAAAGAAATATACGGTAACCCGAATTTACCACACTCGCAAAATTGCACACAGCCGACCATACACCCAGTATGGTATCGCGATTCGCGATTTTGCGCTATCATACTGGGTGTATGGTCAGCTGTGTGCGATTTTGCGAGTGTGGTAAAATCGCATAACAGCAAAATCGCATAACAGCCGAGCATACACCCAGCAGCGCTGCTGATGCCTGAACGGTATGTGGAATGAAGTGGGCGGGCATCGGGAGGCCACTATGGCACGGGGCAAGCACTATGGGCAGTCTATCTGAAGTGTACCTGGCGTATAAGACGACCCCCCACTTGGAGGCATATTTTTCAGGGCCAAAAAATCGTCTTATACGCCGGCAAATACGGTAGAAACCAATTACAAGAAGAAAACTGAAAAACAAACACATGGAGGCTAAATAGCATGCTACTAAACAATGAATGGGTTAATAACAAGATCAAGGAAGGAATCAAAAGATACCTTGAGACACATGAAAATGAAAACACAATGACCCCAAATCTGTGGGAAACAGCCACAGCCGTTCTAAAAGGGAAATTTATAGTAATACAAGCCTACCTCAAGAAACAGGAAAAATCTCAAACAATCCATCCTTACACCTAACGGAACTAGGAAAAGAACAAAGCAAGCCCAAAATGAGTAGAAGGAAGGAAATAATAAAGATCAGAGTGGAAATAAACAAGAGTCTCAAAAACAATACAAAAGATGGATGAAATCAAGAGCCGGTTCTTTGAAAAGATACACAAAATTGAAAAACCTTCAACCAGATTCATTAAGGAAAAAAGAGAGAGGACCCAAATAAATAAAATCAGAAATACAAAATGATAATAATACAGGGATTAAAAAGTTAGTCTAAAATGTTAGGCTAGCCCAAATACTTTTGTTGTTGTAAACCGTTCTTCTTTTGTCCCCAAGGCTCTATTGCCAAAACTTCTAATGGAAACACTGAATAGAGTAGTATAACTTACTACTGTTGATTCTAGCAATAAGACAGTACCAAATGAAGAGCCATAAAAATATTTAAATTATAATAAGGAAAGAACTCACGGGGCAAACTTGAGGCCGATTATGTGGAGTCTCATAGACTTGCCTTATTAAACAATTCTTGAGTATAAATGTCAAAAAGTGAGAGTGGTTCAGAAGACAATTTCAAGTTTTTCAAGGCCTCTGGACTCAGTTCTACTTCTAAAGCAAAAACAAGTTTCTCATTTCCTTATTTCTACTAACTACCAAAGGCTCAGGAAGAAAAGTGATCACTTTAGATATGGGATAAGATGTGCTCCAACAGATTAATAATTTTAGCCAATTTCTACTCTTGGAAGTCTAAATAGTATGTCCTGTATTTATAGGTAGTTTGATTTTGTTGGAAAATCAGTAAAGGAGAATTATGAATTACAGAACTGCCCACATTCTAGCTTCTGCTTGAAATAGCAATATAGTGAACCCACAAATATGAATTATGAACACTGTAATGAAGATATATGCAGAAAATGGGAGGATCAACATTTTGAGACGCTGCTAAATTATCAATTTCCACATTTGCAAATGGAAAATCAAATTTTTAAATTACTTTATAGCCAAGAAGTAACAAAAAGGAAAGTGGCATTTGTGTCAGAAAACTGGAGTTCCAACCTTTCCCCTAAGTGTGGCCCTGAGACACATCACTTAACAAGGCCTTTTCACCTTTCATTATTAGGTTAATGCTCCAGAGCATTCTTGGGAGAATCATTAGATAGAGTACATTTAAAACCCTGTAAAGAGCTAATTAGCATCAAACCAGGAAAGCATTCATCCATTCAACTAATGCTGCATTCAATGACCAACCACCATGTGTCAGGTACGGACCTGAGCCCTGTGGATATAGCAATGAACATGACATTCAAATTGCCACAAACAGGCCATGTGTTCATTCCCTTTATAACCTCCATACAGGTTGTTAGCCCTTTTCCTTTTTAAAAAAAAAGAGGGTACTAACAGAAAATAACATGATAACAGTTGCTTTATATCTGCAAAATTGTTGTTATTGTTGGAGACAGAAAAAGTTGGGCTATGTTCCTTTGCCTGACAAGAGAAAAGACATTTCTCACCCCCTCCCCCTTTCTCCCTATCCTGCATTACCACAAACATCTAGCTTTCTCTGGGTATTTTCAAGAGTTCTAGAAACTACATTTTCCTGGTTTTTCCACCAGGTGGTTCAGCACCAAAAAAAAAAAAAATTATCAATAATAGATCCTTATGGCAACACCTCTCTTAATACCTCTCTAAAGATAAATTTCACTACTACACCTTATGTCAGAGAGCTTACCTTATTCTTATAATCACCAGCATACAAAAATGAAAAAGGTTTATCTAACCTTAGGTTGAAAATGTTCTATATTAAGAGTGCCTTGCTTTATATTTATAAATTTTACTTAATTCACAAATCTTATCAATCAATTCTTTTAAATAAACTAAAGTACCCACTAAAATTCAGAGTTTACAAGATTTTCTCCACCTGGCAAATAAATCCTATAACTCAGCATTCCATGTGTTATGTTGGAAAAGGAAATACAGAGGCAATAAAACTTCAGAATACACATATTAAGCTGTTCAAGCAAAGAAAGAGGTCTTACTATCCTGATTTTCAGCACATATACATTTTAATGTTAGAGTAATTGTAAATGTTAAATAAATAACATGAGTATAACATATATTCTAGATGAATATTACATAAATTCACGAGTATAACACAAGCATTGTATGTGTCTAAACCCGGGGAAAAAATGGATGTTTTTACTTTTTAAAGCACTAAAGCATTCTCCTACCATTCCAACCTGGATACCTGGCCCTGCTGATGGAGCTTCTCATGGCGATGACTAGCCACCTCGGGAATAGACTTCAAACCAACACAACCATCTCTAACAAGCTCTAGTAAAGTGTCAAATAGTGAGAGCAACGTAAGTGGAAGGAGAAAATACAAAAGGGAAAAAAGGAGAGGCCAAGAAAGGAAGAGAAAAGCAAACTGAAAAAAGCACAGGAAAATGTAATTCTTCCATAACCGATGGTGGAAGGTTCGGTATTGCTGATTTCCAAACATCACAGCAAACTCTCACCATTAGAATATACTCTACTGAAAATAAGAGCTCATTTGCTATGGACTGAATGCTTGTGAACCCTCAAAATTCATATGGTGAATCCCTAATGTGGTAGTATTTGGAGGTGAGAACTTTGGGAGGTGTTTAGGTCATGAGGGAGGCCCCCATAATAGGATTAGTGTCCTTTTAAGAGGAAGAGAGGTAGCCCTTACTCCATGTGAGGACACTGCAAGAAGTCAGCTGTCTACACGCCAGGAAGTCCAAGGGGTCCTCACCAGAATCCAACCATGAAGGCACCCAGATCTCTGACTTCCAGTCTCCAGAACTGTGAGAAATATTTACGTCACCTAATCCATGCTATTTGTTACAGCAGCCTCCGAGGACTCAAGACGTCACTCAAGGTAACTAGTAAACCGTGTGGTCTTAAAACTTAGAAACAATAAAGAGGAATGACTTCACTCAGTTTCACCTGGACTTCACTCAGGATCACCTGCTACTGATTAAAGGCACCTGACTTCACTCTCGCCCTTCACCAGCCCCTCTCCCTTCTTCTGGTTTGGGAGTTAAGAGATTTAAAAAACTAGAACTTCCGAATCATAAAAGGAAATTTGACCTCAAAAAGTGGTTTAAAAAACTTTAAGAGGTCTGGCAAGGAAACCCTAGCACATTACTCTGTCCTCTCCCCGCCCATAACTCATCATCCGGCCATGAACGATTTTCCTTGCTTCGAGTCTCCAGCACTGTCTGACAGTAATGTTTGGTGCACGCCTGGGTTGGTTTTTTTTTGTGTTTTTTTTTTTAAGAGCAACCAATTTGTTCCATTACAGCCTCTTCTAATCTGATGTGAGCCTGGCTGGGTTGGCAGGGCTTCCTGGTGTGGCTCCAGGATCAGGAGGCCGCGCCATCAGGCGTCAGACTTAGAAGCCCAGCCCAAGTGCCCCGTTTGGGGAAAGCCTCCCTGAAAAACACGGTAATGGTCGGCGAAATTGACCCAACTTCCCTTCCCATCTTTTCCCAAGTCATGCTTCCCACGGCATGCTTCCTCCAAAAAAGGGGAAAAAACCGGCCTAACACTCAGCCTCTCGCCTGCTAGTATCTACCTCGTACCGGAACTTGTTTGCAAAACCTTCGAGGCACCTATAAATCCGACTTTACAGTAAACGGACAATCTTGAGTCCCGCAACAAAAGACTTAGTGAGCGTCTACTATTGTCAGGCCCCGAGTTTCTCGCAGCTCTCTCAGCGCTCGCTCGCTCGCTCGCTCGCTCGCTCCCTCGCTCGCTCGCTCCCTCCCTCCAGGCGCCTGGACCAGGAAGGTAGGAGAGGCAGGTTACCACGGCCACCCGTGGTTAATACACAGCCCACCAAGCCGCTAAAGGGACCACAGGCCCCTGAACTGGCCAAGAGACCGCCAGCACGAGCACCCAACCGTTGACTCTGCGGGGGGCGCGAAGGGCGTTCCGGGGCGCAGGGGAAACGCCGGGAGTGGCCCGGAGACGCCTCCTCGCCCAGAGCAGCTCCCCCGCAGCCGGCTGCCCCAGGCGGAGCCGCAGAGGCCATCTGGCGCGGAAGGCAGGAGCCAGCCCTCGGCCTGCCTCCCCGCCCTTCCTTCTCCGTCCCTCGCCCGGGACGCCCCCGGTGCACTCCGGCACGCCCACAGGCACAAGCTCAAAGCAAGACCCCGGGATCCACAAAGGCAGAAGCCGCTTCTCCGCGGCCGCCCCCTCCTCTTTCCCCGCAAGCATACTCTCCCCGCCGAGACACGTGGCGTCGGGGGTCCCGCCGCGCGCACCACTCACTTGCTGGCCGGTGCGGGGCTTGCCCTGGGGCGCTCTCCTAAAGAAGGAGGTCCTGGCGGTGAAGAAGAAGTCCTCGGCGTCCTCCTCCAGGCTGCTGTAGCCGCTGCTCATGCTGCTGGTCCCGTCACGCGCGGGCCGCCTCCCCGGGGCGCAGGCGGCCAGGCAGGGGGTGCCGCGCCCGCCCGCCCTGCGAGGTTCCCGGCGCGCGGCCCCGAGCCGCCTGCGGGCCGTCCTGCTGCAGCTGCGACTGCCGCTCAATCCAGCCGTCCCGGGCCCCTCCTGCCGCCTCCCCGTCGGGCTCCTGGCGCGGCTGGGGCCTTGGAGCGGCTGGCGACCCCGCCTCCCGGGGCCCCGCCCCCGCCCCGCGTGCTCCTCCTGGTGGGGCTCGGGACACGCCCCCGTGTGGTTGCAGGTCGGGGCGGGCCACCCGCCTCTCCTGGCTCGCTGCTCTTCCCTTACAGCGCTGGTTGAACCCGGAAAGCCCGGTTCAATGACTGCGTCTGGTGGGGCTAGTGTTTGGGGTGGCTTCCCCAACCTCCCGGAAACGGGCAATTCCTCTGTGATCAGTCCACCCGCCCCCTGCTCTGATAGCTCGGGTTTTGGGGAGGGCCGGAGTAGAGCAGGGAGCTTTCTCTGTTGTCACCACATTACGCGCCCCTTCCCGGGATCCAGCGGGTGGCTGTAGAGAATGCCTGGCCAAGGGGCCCCCAGATCCTCTGGCGTCCTGCAGCGGTATCGCCGTGTACTGAACCCCGGCAGCTCGCCCCTCCAGAGGGTTAAAAGTTAGCGGAGACGATTGGGTAGGTAACAAGTGGGTTGAGTTTATTCAAATGAAAACATCCTGTTAATTCTGTTCAGCTTCGGTCTTTTCGCTGTAGCCCTTCTCTCTAGCGAGGGTTCGTTCCCAGATAAGGACAGCCAAGGTCATTAGGATCTTAGAGGCTACTTGGTTCAAAGGGGGGACGGGAGTGAACTAGTTCTATAGTTCGAGCACTTATTAAACGTGCCTTTTAAATGCCCTCTTCCACAATCCGCTTTAAACCGACAAGGCATGGTTTCAGTGATGGGGTGCAGAGTTCAGGGAATTCTATTTACCTCCTACAAAAAAAAAACACGCAAAATTTTCCTCCAAGTCACCTTTGGGTACCAGTCATTTATACCTTGCTGTTATTGAATTTATTTAAATCACACTAATTTCCTCGCAGCGATCCCGATTGAAAGGAAGTTGCGTTTTTGTTTTTGTTTTGCCGTTTTAACAGTTTATTTTGAAGTTCATTTTTAAAACAAAGTTAAAAACAATCTGAAAAAAACTACACAGAATACACTCATTAAATAAATATGGTGATTAAATCAAAATAAGGAAAGTATGTTTTCTTCTGCAGCTCCAGTAAGAAGTTGTTATCCTGACGGTTCTTATACTTCCAAGGGAGGGGAGGAGGGGGGAATTAAAGCTGCCTCTTACTCATGTAAATTTACAGTAAAAACCAAATTTTTCTGTTCTTCCCAATAAGTCAAACTGTGTCTTGTTTTTAAAAAGATATGATGCTAGGAATTCAATGGGATTTGGTGGTCTTTCCTTCCCAAACACAGCAAGTCCCTGTAATAAGATAGGCACAACTGTCTGATCCGGGTAGGCACGAGTTGGCAGACTGGAGATACGCTGTTTTGATAACTTTTCTACATTGATCTCATTTTCTACTATTCTCTCGACGTTATCTGTGAGACCTGAGACTGACTGTACTCAGAGTGAGGATTTTCTGCAACCTGCGTCTGTCCCCCGCTGCATCTGCTCTGGCTCCATGGCGGACCCTGCAAGTCACAGTTCCCGGATATCTGTCTGATCCCGAGTTGTCCATCCCTAAGAGCTTTGCACTGCCCCACCAACTCCCGGTACAAACTGCCTCCGCCATGGAAAGGAGGTGGTTTTGAAGCTTCAGCACCGCTATGGTAAGCAGACTTCAGGAGAGGTTTCATTAGGAGGGGAAGAAGGGTTAGGAAACAGAATTTTCACCCATTATAAGCTAAACTTTCTTGCATTATCTCTAATCCTCGAAACAACTCTAGTAGAAAGGTAGATAGTACTATTTGGTGCTCATTTTATACCAAGAGCAGCTGAGGCTTAAAGAGAGAAAGGTAGCTGGAGGGGGCAGCGCTGGGCCCATTCTGATCTGAAGTTCTTCAGATACCCTTCTAGATCCTCTGCTTCATCCCTGGTCACATGGTCATTCGTGGACTAGTGGGAGGGAGAGCTGGACGGGAGATGATGGGAAGGAGGAAAATGGCTCAGGAGTCATCCTATCCCCAGCAGAAAGAAGGCTTGCAAACCTGCTCTCCCTTCCTTCAGCTTACTCACACATCTAGTTTGTAAACTTGTCTTAACCACAAGTGATTCACAACTCCATGAGGCAGGCATGGCAGTTGCAGCCCATTTTAAAGATCCTGAAAAATTAAAGCCTTCCTAGTGAGGGGAAGCAAAGTTTGCCACCCTAAAATATCTCTTTTTTAGATACTATTTTAACCTAGTAATTTTTAAATATGACTTGAGAAAAACTTTCAAACTTCCCCCTAACTGCCTAAAAGTATTTAAATAGAGGCTCTGCTCCAGAAAAGGAGCTATTATAACAGATAACTGTAGTTAATATGAACTATATGAGGTGTAATAGACAGGGAACACATAGCAAGGACCTTTTGATCAAAGTCTTGTCTGTGTCCTATTGTTAAAGATGGCCCAGAAAACACTATTTTACCAAACATTTGCTTTTCCATCTCCATGTGAAGTGCCTTCCTCCACTTTGAAGTCCCAAACCACAATCCACCCTTCTCCTTAGTTCAAGATGGCATATGAACTGACAAGTCTGTCCTGGGGTCCCATATTCTTATGGAACCTCCGTGTGTTCATATGTAATAAATTTGGTCATTTACTCCTGTTAATCTGTCTCGTGTTAATTTGATTATTAGTCCAGCCAAAAGAATTTAGATGGGTAGAAGAAAATTATTTTCCCTCCCCCACACTCGCCACACAACTACTGAGTAATTGCCTGGTCTAAGCTGACCCCTATGTGTTATGTCATGAACATCACCTAATGTAAGGGGATAAGAGAATTTACTTACTTCGTATTAGATTTTTGTTATTTGGTTTCCATTATTGGGTTCCATCATGTAATGGTTAGCACTCTGGACTCTGATTTCCATTATTTAATTAACATAATTAATTATGTTAAAGACTTATTAAAGACTCCAACTTAAGAGCCATGCATAGGTAAAAGAATTTAAGTAACTTGTTTTATTGTAGATGGAAATTATTTTAAACAGTTTCTGAATACTCTGAGGAAAAATATTAGGAGGAAAAATACATTAAAGTGATTTATGATCCACCATGCCATAAAAAAAGATATTTGATGATATTATTTTTGAGTTCCAAAGGGCAATTAATTTTCCTGTCAGCACACCATCAGAATCAGTTATAATAAAAAGACATAATTGAATAATGAAGTAGAAGCACTGCCTTTAAACAACAAAAAGCAAAAACTGAAGGAAGGAAGAATTGGCATTCTGTTTCCTAAAACAAGGATTATAATCGTATTTCTATATTTTTCTGGCAGTATTCTTGATTTTAAAATATTATGAATTTAACATTTGGATCATGAAATTAGTATTTGTCTGTAAAAATTCAAAATGTCACATTCAGCAACTAAACATTTTTAACATTTAAAATTCAGGGAAGGGGGTGGAATAAATAAATGTATGCAACCAAATTCAGCTTTGAAAGAACTTACTGTCAAACACAGAATAGAATTTATAAGTGGGCTCTATTATTATAAATGTTCCAGTGACACGAGAGCCTAATGATTTAGATTTACAGCCTAGTAACCTTTTATTTAAATGGGGAATATATTTAAAACTTAATAAATATATGCAAATATTATAAATGCTAATGTTTTATAAATTTAATCATCCTGTACATAAAAGCATTTTCCTTAGTTTAATGTAAAAGTAGAGGCTGTAGCAACAGTTTACACTTCTTAC